CAGGTTTTTACTTTGTGGTTGCATCTTAAGTGGAGTTTTTTAAATATAGAACCATGTTATTTTCATATCAAATAGAAATAGCACATGCTTCCACTAAAATGAAAAATGTTGTTCTCCCATTTTTCTAGTAACTTGTGCCCTTTTAGGCCTTCTTTCTTTTCTTCTTTTTTTCTTTCCCTTTTCTTATCCTTGACAAGGATATGAACTAGAGAGATATTACACTTTCATCTTTACTATAAGAAGAAAAAAGTGAAAGTTGGTGGTAAAAGCAACTGACTTGCAAGTAGGCTTGTGGCTCACGCCTGTAATCCTAGCACTCTGGCAGACTGAGGTGGGAGGACTGCCTGAGTCTGGAGTTGGAAACCAGCTTAAACAAGAGCAATACACCCCCCTCCAAAAAAAGAAAATAGAAAAATTAGCTAGGAGTTGTGGTTGGTACCCATGGTCCCAGCTATCATGGAGACTGAGGCAGGAGGATCACCTGAACCCAGAAGTTTGAGGTTGCTGTGAGCTAGGCTGATGCCAAGCGACTTGAGTCTGGGCAACAGACTTTTTTTTCCTCAAAAAAAAAAAAGCAACTGACTTGGGACTTCAATGATCTAAAGCAGTGGTTTTCAACCTTCCTAATGCCATGACCCTTTAATACAGTTCCTCGTGTTGTGTTGATCCCCAGCCATGGATACACTTGGAAACAGATTGCAACTGTTTGATTTAAAGCTTCATTCAAAGCATTAAATGAGTGTTTAATGGATACACATGGTTGGGGGAGGGGGGTCAACACAACATGAGGAACTGTATTAAAGGGTCGTGGCATTAGGAAGGTTGAGAACCACTGATCTAAAAGCATGTAGGATACTCATGTTCTACCAGTTGTGCTTTATGGGAATATGAGTCCTGATGTTTTAGGAAAAGCCCACAATCTGGAATTTTGTGTGAGATCTTTCACATTTTTAAATACTGGTAACTTTTCAATTATTTTTTTAAACACCAAATTGACCAAAACTATATAAACCAAACCAAACTTGGCTCAAATGAAACTCCATTTCAACATCCAGATTCCCAAAGTACATATGTGAGAGTATTAGGATGTGGTTGTCCTCTCAAGGTTATGGGCAGAGATAGACCCAAGACAGATGTAAGGTAAGAAGCAGTTAAGAACAAGGCAAAAGTGGTTGGGTAGAGTGACTCATGCTTGTAATCCCAGAATTTTGGGAGGTTGAGGCAAGAGTTTGAGGAGCTCAAGAGTTTGAGGTTTATGTGAGCTGTGATCAGGCCACTGGAAGCAAAAAGGAGCAGAGTTCAGGACTGATGTGGGTGCCCAAAGTCAGGCAAATAGGAGATATGACACTGCATTCAGTATCTGGTGAGAAAAGTGAGGGTTAAGGAACATGCATGACTTTAGGACATTAAAGACCTAAGAGAGAGGAGAAAACCAGAAGACTGTCCTTTAGATGAAAATTTGGGGGAGGGTAGAAGGGGAGGTCAGCAGACTCTTGTGCTGTAAAGAGGTGAAAGAGAAAAAAATGAGTCATAATTATCAGGTTGGACACTTAAAAGTCACTGTTGACTTTTAAAACCTCCCATTTTTACTATTTGCCCCAATAATTCTACTTTTAAGACATTTACCAAAGGAAATAATCCTAAACTAGAGAAGTTATCTGAATATAGATGCCCAGTTTACAGCTCCTTAGGAAAAGGGAGACTGGAAATAGCCTAAGTGCTCATCAAATAAGACAATGTGGAACTAAACCACAGATATTTATTTGGTGATATATTAAATAGGCATTTTAAAAGTGAAAAGTCCTTAAAATATCATTACCAACTAAAAGGAGTAAGAGTCCCCTAAAGAAAAGACTGATTCTAGCTCTGCAGCAGGAGAGGTACAAGATGAGTCTAGAACATCTTGTGTGAGAAAGTAAGTAAATGCTTAAAAATTGATGAGATCAAGTCAAAAAGACATACAAGCCTCTTGAAAAAGTCTCCTGTTGGCCAAATTTGGGACACTTC